CAATCGTCGGCCGACACTCTGACCTCCGATCGAAGCCGTGACTTTCCCCGACGAAGCTTTGATCGTAGCGATCATTTGAACAAGGTAGTTTACTAATCTCTGACATTCCAAAACTATTGAATGTATCATTAGTCGTATTTATATAACGCTGTTATAAATGTTAAAAAATTTAATTATAGTACAGAACCGAACGGAACCGAACCGATCCGAACCGAACCGAATGGAACCGAACCCGAACGGTTCTATAATTATATTTGAACCCGACGGTTCCATTTACTAGATACCCGAAAAGTTCGGTTCGGTTCGGTTCTAAAGAGAACCGAACCGAACCGACCCGCGCCCACCCCTAGTGTGATATATCTTTGGAATCAATGCATGTTTTTCATATGAATTTGGACTATGAATAAGACCGGGCCGTGTTAAATATGGATTTAATATATCTCAGAAAAGAATGTTGAATGGAAGTGAATTATTATTGTCGTGAATGCATGAATTTACTGGATTACGAATTAAGAATTGAAATAATGGCAATATGTGGATTCAATGTTCCAATACAAACATTCACATTAGATTTGATCACTTTTTATTGCTTTTTTAGAATAAAATTATTTCAAATAACAAGCATATCACAACTCTTTTGATGTCACTATACTTCAAATTTAATAGTAACTATTGAACTACGAATTAGACCTTATTCTCATGAGAACGATACTCTTAATTTACAAATCGTATTACTTGTGGATGTCCAACAAGTATACAGACCATAACAAGTAATAAAATGGACCTAAGAGTCCGGATCTCATTCCCACGAGATTACTATTTAACAATTGGTTCAATTATTCCTAATTTTAATTTGATCGAAAACAAATAATAAGTTTTGTGATTGGTGTCTAAATTTAAATAGACTAAATTATTTACTGTACACAGCTTATCGAATTTGGATTTTAAAAGTATGAATATAGATACTAGGACTTACAAAGTATCTATGGATCCTTTTTAATTCGCCGATCATGATTCATTACAATTGTAGTGTTTGATCGAATTCTTCTAAAATATTCAATTTATCCCTTTCAATCCCATATCTCTATACAAATCAATTTTAGTTAAACGAAATATTACTTCTAAGAATTTATCTAACGATCGCAATAATTAGTATATGTATCTCTATACGTTATACTAAATTATCGAATTTTAATATGTGATCTAAATCTATGACTCACATTTCGTTTCGTAATAAATTCACAAAATTATTGAATAACGGGCCAAAAAATTCAAAGCATTAAGTGTATAATAAAAGTAGTTCTTATCTGGTTCCATTTCTGAGAGTGAGAGCCCACACATTATTCATGGGACTGACACGTTTCTTATCCTAAATTGTGCTTGCACGAATTTTTGTTTTACGTCTTAGATCTACACTTGAACCATCCTACCAATTACCAAACTGTGGATCCTGCTTCGATTCCTGGAGTTAACACTGGGAGCCATATGGAGAGGAAGTCATTGGTGTGAACAAACGCCCAGTGAGAAGAGCTCTTTTTGCGGAAGGAGTCCAAATGAGTTGTGGGAACCTGGGAGCCAATAAGGGCACATCCTGCGATTTACCTCCCTGAGCTGCTGAGGGGCCGGAGGTTCAGGGACAAGGATCTAGTCGGACGCAAGCCCGGACACCTTGTAAAAAAAAAAAAAAAAAAAAAAACTGTGGATCCTGCACTATAGTGACGTCACCTTTTGGACTGAGGCACTGAGAATCAATTCAAACTTGATCCGAACAATAAAATTCAAGTTGGTCCCGTGTCCATTCAATCATGTTTTTTTTCGGGTGGCCACTCCTAATCGGCGGCGCCAACAAATTTGCACATACCACTACCAGCCTCTGTTTCGGGGAGAATTTATAAGCATTTAATTTATAAATACTAAATAGATAAAATAAGTTGATATATTATATAATGTGTAGTTGAAAAAAAAAATTGAATTTGTTATAACTGTAATATATTATCGAGTTGACTCTTTAATTTGGGATTCGGCTAATAGGATGCGAAAAACAGTTCATGAATAAATAACTCTTATGGCCCTCCATTGGTTTCAAAAACTGGGTTCTACTGGAATTAGAAATGTAAAACATGGTACAACCGAAAAATATAAGAAATAGAATGTTAGAGACATATTTCATTTTAAGAGGTATAATTTAATGTTTATACTGATAAATTATACAACATCAATTTAACAACTATTGCTTAACTCATTTTTAATCAATTGCTAAATCAAAATTTTGTGCAATATATTGTATTGTATTGACATGTTGCATCAATACTATATAAAACCAAATTCCACGAGGCATTTAAGCGCACTAGGACCAAAATCTCTTTATTAATGATCCGACTTCACCGTCTTAATTGATTTAGCTGACTTTTGATATATTTGATTATTGATCCTTTGATTTTTTTTGTCTATGTATACTCGTGTCAACGAGCCGAGCTGGCTCGCTAGTTGAAACTTTAGGCTCGGGCTCAACTTGAATAAAATGGTCCGAACTTTTTTGCAAGCCCGAGCTTTTGCTCAACCAAGAAATCTAGGCTCGGTTCGAGCTTTCAACTCATGCCTTGTCAAGCCGAGTTGGACAGTCTCGATTTTATTTATTTATTTATGTAAAGGCAACACTCGGCTGACTAAAAAAAAGGCAACAGCACATTGCCTTGAACATTTTTTATAATAGGTCTGTGAGCTTGAGCTGACGAGCCAGATGGGTCAGCTCGAGCTCGACCGGGCACCCCCAAATGGGGCTCACCCTGAGCCTCGAGTTTTGTAGAGTCGGGCTTACTGGACAATGGGCAGCCCAAGCCCAATTACCATCCCTATCTACTTATCGATAGCACTTTTATTTAAGCTCTTTATAGTGCATAAAGTTGCGAGTTAAGCTTTATTTGTAGCTCTTGGATTGAGTCAATAAGTCCAACTCAGTATAAGATTTTTCAAATCACTATATTTTTTGCTGCCCCTATCTAAAATATTCTGACTAATGCTAGCCACAAGTCGGCTCGCATCCGGATTATCCAACTTCAACTGAAGAAGAAGAAGCAGAAGCTTCACGAGTTTGATCAAAAGGGGGACAACCTTCTTCAATTTGTTCCATTGTTGACATTTTGTACCAAAATCACTGAATTTGGAAGTTGACAGCAAGTCGACAGAGGCAGTGGAAAACAGCTCATCAGCAAATATCTCACAAGGGCATAACCATAAATGGCCCTTCATGCCCCCAGGGCATATCTCCCAGTGGCAAAGGGGAGGGCGGATAGGGCTCAGCGCGGCAGTGTGCAGAGTTCGATTCCCCGCAAGGTGGAATTGGCTTTGTTGCAAGCGGGAGTTACCATATAGGTTAACAGCCTTGGCCTATCCATGTGCTCTCTACCCTGGCTCCTGGGAGGCACATCCTGCGATTTACCTCCTTCACGATGGCCCAGGGTAGGGTCGATGGGGGCCCTTAAGATTGAGGTTCAACCTTTTTTATAAATGGCCCTTCATTACTCCCAAAAACTACTCTGTACCCATCAAAATGAACAAAACACGGTACATAGTACGCCGAAGTATTATATGGTAAATAATTATATGAAATGACCTAAAAAACAAGAGAGTAATGTACCGTTTCACAACTGAATAATTATTTCTAATATGTTAGCGGCGTCGAAAATTTAGTCTCGAATAGTGAAAAAAAAAATTCTTTAATTTGGGACAATGATTTTTATTCTAGATTACTGTATGTTGTAGATTTTAAACAATTAATCATGTAGATGTTAAAGATGAATACATGTTGAAATTATATTTTAACTATTTGGCAAATTGAAAACCCTGGAGTTCACGAATATAGTAAATCATAAAGCAGTCAAAGTTGAGTTCAATCTCTAGCAGTCATATTATAATCAAAATCTTAAATAAAATGGTTTTGTCGAATACACCTTTGGATATATCAATTGTACTAGTGTCACTACGTCTAGATCCTTTTGTCATGGTCAATATAAACTACATAGACAATTGGTAGAGTAGCAACTATTACACCTTCAACAACATAAGATGCAACATCGATAGTTAATTTCTCGATCAATATATAAAATAATGTCTTTTGTACTATTCATTCTATTATGTATTTCACTTATCACGTTGAGAGCCTTGTGTCTTTGGATTAATTACACTATAGCATGTTATGGGCTCCTCGTCTCAATCAAAGGGTTCGGCCTCTGCATGGCTCTTTGACATAGGTGGTATATCACTTCAACCTAATAACATGAAACCCAAATTAGTTTATTATCAAAATCCTTAATGTCAAATCACCAAAAGAACTATAAAGTACGGAACACATCTTAATTCATTGGGGATATTTCTTTAATACTGGATCTTAATTTTGGATTTTGAATCTTGAATATTAACTCTTTTTATTTTTTATATCTTGATTTTGTTTCTTGGCGTGCATGCCATAAAAATAGACTATTTACGACATGCGATAAATGTATGCCGTTAAAAATGAATTGCTTAAGGTATTTATAGCGTGCAAAAAAAATGCACACCATAAATGTGATTATTTACGACTCACCTGTGGGGTATGCCAAAATAATAATAATAATAATAATAATAATAATAATAATAATAATAATAATAATAATAAATTGGTCTTTTTATGGCATGCATACTTACGCCGTAAATGTCGTCTTTTTTCTTCTATTTTCGTTCTTTTCCATCCTTTCCTTTTCAAAAAAAAAAAAGGTTAAACTCTAACATTAAGGGTCCCCCACCACCCCTGCCCTGGAACATCGTGAGGGAGGTAAATCGCAGGTTATGCCTCCAAGGGTACAGGGTGGAAGACTGCTTGTACATTTGCACTTACCCAAGAGCCAAATCCATATTTCAGGATTCGAACCCTTGATGCAGCAACCTCAAGTAAAGTTGGATTTCTCCACCCTCTTCTTTTACCACTTGGAGATGTGCCCTGGAGGCGTTCCTTTCCTTTTCATTCCTACGAAAAATGGTCAACCTCTTTCCTCTTCTTACGATTTCTTCCTGCTCTCTCTGACTGCCGTTCTCTCCTAAATTACCACCCTTCAATCACCCATCAACCATTCAATTAGCCATCAGCCCATTTGGGTGGTTATTCTGATAATCTCATAAGATTTATAGAACGAGGAAGCAAATGGTACCTATGTAAGTCTATTTCATCTAAAATTTGATTATTTGTTTTTTAGTTCGAAAATTGATCTGGGTTCGTTTTGTTCTTTTCGATATTTGATTTTCTGTGATTTATTGAATTTGATTATTTCCTCAATTTATTTATTATTATTTTTTTTTGGCATTTTCAGTGCAAAAATTAAACTAGGTTTGATGTGTTCTTTTTAACTTTTTACTTTATGTGATTTCTTATATTGATTCATTTCTACTTGATTTTTGATCTTCCATTTCGTTTCTGACTCTACATCATTTTTTTTTTCACAATTCAACGAAAATAAAGAAAATAATATTTATTTTCCTGGGCAAGTTATGAACTCGAACACTCTGTTATCAAGTGCTGGAAGAAATGGATCCATGGATTCAACAGCTCTCAGAAGAAATTCCAAGCGACCCAAATGTATTTTTTCTTTTCAATGTTGAATGCGAATCTGGTTAGCAAGGTTATTATTGAACCCACAGGAATTGACACTAGATCCCAAGAACACCCAAATATGACCAAGGTTTAGGATTTAATTTTTGAACAATGAACCAAGCAACCGAAGGTATATTAAACCAACGATCTCTTGATCACAAAGTCTTGAAATCTCACCCAGATTGTGGACTTGAACCAATTTAATTAAGGACCAAAAAACCCAATAAGAACGATACTTGAAAGACCCCTTGATTACAACCCAAAGGTCTAACCCGATGTTTTTGAATGCCACAAGAAATCACTTTCTTGATAGGTTCGATTTGCCCATTGAAGAACAAGAAAATTGAAGCGAAAAGCTTCGAGAGAATTTTATTCAATAATTCATATGAAAAGTCTTGAGTATTACAATGAGAAAATAAACTTATTTCTACTAAAAACCTAGCAAGAAGTTTGAAAATGAATAAAACTCTAAAAATATAAATTTTCAGCAAAATTAAGAATTCTAGACAAAATAAAACTCCTAAGAATACAGAAATTATCAAAAATAAAAAATTCTAACCAAAACTAACAACTCGTGAATTTTGGAAACTATCCTTGTCGAAATTGACGTTGTGGATCATATCAAATGCGTTAGGAGTATGACTCAAATAGGAGTATTATGAAGAGGCATATTCGATTTGGACTAGGAGAACATTAACCTAGGGCTTAAAGAAACTAAGTTGAATAAGGAAACAAAATCCTGTTGAAATTTGGTCTCCTAATTGTAATATATTTTCTTACCTTTTAGGACTCTTCTAGGTAGGGATGTAAATGAGCCGGCTCGGGAGCCTAAAGTTTCGGCTCAGGCTCGGCCCGGTTAAAATGGCCGAGCTTTTTTGCAGGCTTGAGCCGGGCCGAGCAAAAAAAAAAAAAGGCTCGGCTCGAGCTTTTGCTTGGGCCTTTTCCGGACCGAGCCGGGCAGGCTCGTTTTCTCCTCGATTTTTTTTCTTCCTACTGCCTTAAAAGGCAGCCAAGCAAAGCAGCGTATTTTATTTAATTAATTTTTTTTAAAAGCTCGCGAGTTCACGGGCCGGCTCGAGCAAAGCCCGTGTTCCCAAAATGGGGCTCGTGTCTATCTAGCCCTGAGCCGAGCCACAGGTGGCCCAAGCCGACGAGCCCGATTGCCATCCCTACTTCTAGGGTTGGCCTATAAATACGAGACTTCTCTGGTCAGTTTGTAGAGAGTAACATAGAAGCAATATTGTTAGTCTGTCTTGTATTCTCCACACTATTGAATTAATAGATATCGTTCTTCTGCGTTTACTCTTTGTGTTCTTTTTTTTACAAATTCAATTTTATGTTTTTGTGGTATGATCTAGTATACTTCAACATTGTAATTAAATCTCTTTCTTTATAATTTGGTTTAGAGTCAACGTATGTTATTGGAGTTTCCGCGCCCAACAAGTGATATCAGAGCGATGTTGATTTTTTGTGGATTGGTTGAGATTCTTTCGAGATGGCTGAGTTGAAGTATGATATCTCACTATTAGATCGCAATACAAGGTTCTCATTATGGTAAGTAAAGATGAGGGCTATTTTGGCGCAGTTGGATTTGGATGATGCGTTGCTGGGTATTGAGAAGATGCCAGCTGATTGGACAACGGAGGAGAAACAACGGAAGGCTGTGTCGTTGATTCATCTTCATTTATCTAACAATATTTTGTAGAATATCTTGAAGGAAAAGATGGCTGCTGCTTTGTTGTTGAGACTAGAACAGTTATGTATGACTAAAAGTCTTACTAGGAAACTGGCTCTTAAGTAGAAGTTGTATTCCCATCACACGGCGGAAGGAGGATTGTTGGAAGATCACATTGCCGTGTTCAAGGGAATAGTTGCAGATCTGGAGAGGTTGGAAGTTAAGTACGATGAAGAAGATCTTGCCTTGTTCCTGTTGTGTTCGCTGCCTGAGTCTTATGCGTCGTTTCGGGATACTATCTTGTAAAGTCAACATACTTTGACTATAGAAGATGTCTATGATGCTTTGCACTCAAAGGAGAAAATGAAGCATTTAGTTGGAGCTACATCAAGGGATAGGGAAGCTCTTATATCTCACGATGGTCGACGAAGAGGCAGATCGAGAGTTAGATTTAGCAACGTGACCTGTTACTACTGCAAAATAAAGGGACATATTCGGAAGGATTGCGATATATTGCAGGCTAAAGGTGATTTAGCTGCAAATCGTGGAGTACAACCTTTGAATTCAGAGGAAACCAATGTAATTGAGAATTGTTCAGATAGCGAAAAGGTGATGTTGATCGTGGAATCTGATGTGGAGTCTAGACCTAACGAGGAGTGGATTCTTGATTCAACATGTTCACACCATATGTGTTCTGATAGGAATTTATTTCAGACATATGAGGTTGTTCAGCAAGGTGGAGTTGTATGGGAAACAACCAATCTTACTGTATTGTTGGGATTGGTCAAGTCAGTTTGAGGCTGCGAGATGGAACATTTAGAACAATTGATCAAGTTTGACGTGTTCCTGACCTAAAAAGAAATCCCATTTCGCTAAGTACCTTAGATGCAAAAGGGTATAAATTCTCTGGAGGAAATGGAGTCTTGAAGGTCCAAAAGAGAGTCCGAGTTGTACTAGAGAGGCGAAAAAGATCCCAATTGTACATTTTGTAGGGAAGTGCAAAACCAATTAAAAGGAGACATTTGGACTAGTTTAGTACCGTGGTGGAAGTTCAGTTTAGTACAGTGTCTCTTGTGTTGGGCACTGAGTCGATTCAAAACGCTGCTAGGGAGAGCGCTGGTGATTTCGCTTTGCCACCAATTTCAGCGAGTACGCTGTGTTCAGTTGCTGAGGTAGGACTCATCGAGTGTAAGTACCATGGTGTTGGCAATGTCCGGAATGCTTCTATGGACGTTGAAGGCGACAGTTCCAGCAAGGGGCCTTCTGATCAAGCATCTAGTTTGGTTCTTACTATAGGGTGTGCTTCGACCCTGTGTGATCAACATTAATTCCTTTGTGGAATTGGGAACCCTGGGGATTGGGTTCGGGTGTCGGCTGTGGACGCTGAGCAGAGGACGAGTGTTTGATTTATATAGAGTGTTTACTGTGTTGAAGAGATTCGACTAGTTAATTTTGATGCAGATGAATTTGAAATCTAGGAATTTCGTTCGTAACACCAAAATTTGAGTCCAGATGGAGATTGTTAGGAGTATGACTCAAATAGGAGTATTTTGAAGAGGCGTATTCGACTTGAACTAGGAGAATATTAACCTAGGATTTAAGGAAACTAAGTTGAATAAGGAAACAAAATCATGTTGAAATTGGGTCTCCTAATTGTAATATATTTTCTTGCCTTTTAAGATTCTTCTAGGGTTGGCCTATAAATAGGAGGCTCTTCTGGTCAGTTTGTAGAGAGTAACATAGAAGCAGTATTGCTAGTGTGTCTTGTATTTTCCCCACTGTTGAATTAATAAATATCGTTCCTTTGTGTTTACCCTTTGTGTTCTTTCTTTACAAATTCAATCTTGTGTTTTCGTGGTGTGGCCTAGTATATTTCAACATTGTCATTAAATCTCTTTCTTTATAATCCAGTTTGAAGTCAATGTGTATTATTGGAGCTTCTGTGCCCAACAAGATGTTCTTCTTAATTTTCTAATCTTATTTGTTTCTATTGTTCAATTGGCAACTGCCGATGTGATGTTTTGCCTTGATTCTTAGTTTTCTGCTCAGAATTTTGATTGTTATGTCAAACTTTTATGGGTACCTTGCAAATTAACTTAGTACAAGAATTGCTTGAAGGTTTATTCAACTGGTACTATTTTGATTATGTTCTTGCAAGTTCAGTAAGTATGGATTTTCTTTAGAAGGTCTATAATTGAAGTCCAGGTTTAGTTTTTGAATGTTACCATTTTACTTTCTTAGTTCTATAACTTCTATCTTTGAGATGCAAATGATTGACTTATACATGATTGAAAACACTAAAAAATATGATAAAAATGAAACAAAATGAATGTTTCAAAGCTCTTGAAATAAAGACCTGTCATTAATTTTTTACATGAGATATTTTTATCATACATTGATATGGTTGGGACTGCATATTTTTTTTTGATGTATGTGAACAGGTGAAGGAGATGGGTGGAAGTAGTAAACCTTCAGATCTAATAAAGGGATACAAGCAATTAGTAGAGAGGAAGAAAGGGTTTGTTGATTGGGCAAACTTGATAAACAATCATGCAGTAACTCAAGAAAAAAAGAGGGGAAGTTTACTCAGGAAGAAGTAAAAAAAAAAAAAAAACACCTGCATGTATAGACTTCAAGATTTATGTTCGTCACTTGGTCTTTCGAGGATAAATGCAAGTTTAGTGTTTTTGAGGGAAGGTTGTGATAGTATGTGGCATGGCTCTCAAATTTTTTTATCATATTTTTTATTTGCTTGTTTAATCATGTGGCTTTAGCAAATACTAGTAAAGAGTTGCCTATACAATAATACTTATTTATTAAATTGGTTACCAAACAAGTAATCCGAAAAATGTACAGCAATTAAGACCTTCCAATAACGAAATTAAGTTTGCACATTCAATGAGTAAATCATCATAGCATGACAAAAAATCGTAGCTCTTCACTTAGACAGGATCTAAACTGAGAGTTTTTGTATACTTGTATACAAGGTTCTTTCCCCCTTTTGTTCATGAATAAAATCCTCAATCAACTAAAAACGTTAGGCTCCACTGTACATACATTAGAATAACAAGTTGCCTAAAATGTTGAATGAATGCAACTGCCTACTGTGCTTGATTGCATGTGCTAACCTATTCCTATTTGTAGAATATCTTCTCTTATCCTTTGTTTCTCTTTCAATGCTTAAATTTCAGAATTCAAATTATATAAATGAAATGCAAAAATCTTCTGCACAATATGTTTACAAAACAACATTCATTAGTTGATATGCCTATTAAAATCCATGATCTTGTAAACATGTTAGTTCTGATACAAAATCTTAATGACCTATATACTAATCAAAATTTAAGAAATGCAAAATATATAGCAAGTGGTGCTTGAAGAATATGATGTGTGGTGTTTTCATACTAACAAAATTCCAAGTCATTGAAATGATTAGGTATGTATAATCTATTATTATCTTTTCCCACATACCTATGAATCTTATTGCTGGAAAGTACTTGAAGTCTTGGATATGATCATTTCTTTTACTATATTTTACCTATTCATGAAATCAAATTAGAGTTGTACAGAAAGCAATTACCGTAAACAACATCATCATATATGAAGCGACCTCTGGTCTCACTATAGTAAGATCATTTTAACTAATGTTTATTTTATTTTTCTCTAAACTCATTTAGTATTTCTTTCCTAAAATCAAAAAGCATTTTGTAATTGTCATTGCATTTTCTAGCCCAACTTGGTAAATGTGCGTGATCAAATAAATTATTGCGTCCCATAGTTAGATTTGGCTAGGATTCTAAGGGTCCTTATTAAATGATCCTTATATTTTCATTCGACAATTGTAATTATACTCGAACAAGGCCAGGACTTCCTCAAGCTAGACTCGGCCCTTGGGAGGGAAATTCTCAAATAACTTTCAAGATTTGCTCATGCTCGACTTAGCCTTATAATGAATTATATTTGAACAATGTTGAAAGTCCCTAAAGCTTGACTCTATCCTCAAGATCAGTGTTGCTCCAACAAGATCGAGACTTGGACTTGACGTGGCTTTAGAATAATGCTCGAAAGAGGTCAAGAGTCTCTAAGGCTCAACTCGATCTTTGCGAGGGAATACGTTCAAACTAGGTTGAGACTCACTTGGACTTAAATTAAACTTTTCCATCTCTATAATTATATTATTATAGTATGCTGGTAATCAAATAAATGAACAAATTTTTAAAAAAAAATTTGTTGATATTTACGGCGTGCATGGGCACGCCATAAAAAGTTATATCCATCCATTTACGGCATGCACATGCACATGCACACCGTAAAAAGTCTATAACCTCTTATTTACGGCAGGTTGCGCATGCCCTAAAAACTTTACATTTTTACGACGTGTGGATGCATGACGTAAAAAGTGATGCACGGCATTCCTACATGGCGTATTTTGAACGTCGTAAATAGCGAACCACTTTTTACGGCAATGCTTTATACGGCGTTCAGCCGCACGCCGTAAAAAGTAAGTTTTGTTGTAATGAATCTATAACTCACATTTCAATTCGAATAGATTCACAAAATCATTGAATAATTGGCCAAAGAATTCAAAGCATGAAGTGTATAATTAAAATCAATAAATATGTATTTAAAGAACTTGAGTCTTCAATTAAAGAAATAAAGGGTCACACATTGATTACATTGTTCCCCCTAACCATACATTTAGCTAACATAATAATTGGAAAAAAAAAGGGAAAAAGAAAAAGGAAAAAAAAAAAAAAACAAAAAGTATAGAGTTCAAAGCAAGGTTTTGAAATTTTAATCATGAAAAGAATTTTGGATCTTACACCAAGAGTCTTCTTCAACTTCGAAAACCTTCAAATCTTAGCTTTTGCTCTTTGATCTTGATGATTATGTGTTTTCTTTCTCCAAATTGTGTGGAACTCTTCCAAAAGCGTCAAAAACTTGTTTTCATAGTTGCCCTCACATTTTTTTTTTTTTTTTGTAGAGTTTTAATGGGCTTTAAAAAGGCCAAAATTTGTGCGGTAGATTTGCCTTCTTTCACAACCAGGTATGTAACAGCTTCTTCTCTTCCTCCAAGCAGTAAAGCAGGTTCCTTCTTCGTCTTTTGCTTGTCATTGGATTGGAAGCCGCAGGCCCCTAGGTAAGCTGGCGCTACAACGATGCGAGTACAAGTCGTGGGCGCCCGGGGCACCACCTTTTCAGGTGAAGATCGTTATTACACTTTCTTTAATATTTTTATTGTAACTTTCTCTCTTGATATCTGATTGAAGGGATTCAAATTGGGTTGTAAAGATAACTCAAAAAACTACAACTTTACTTGAAATAACTTTTTTCCAATTCAAATGTTTACTAGGTCGAACATGAGTTCAAACTTAAATTGAAAATCTGAAACATAAGTGTGCTATTGAAAATTGATTTGTATCTATATTTTGATCATATTTCATTTCGTTTTGACATCTAGTTGCATGCAATTGACCTCTAGCATTCTCGAGTCTTCATTGTGAGGTCCGATACAACTTTTAATTATTTTCACTTTAGTCCCCAAACTTTAGATCTTGTCTCTTATTGTCGATTTTTCGCTTCTTTCTTTCAATTCCACTTCCATTCATCGAGTTTCAACTAATAACATATTATATAATAAATTAGCCTATAATTTCAGTAAAAGATATTTCAAAGCTCCAATAAATATATAAAATACACTTATCACATGCGCTTGTGGGTTTCTTGCTCGCTTATTACTTTTGAAATTCCACGTAAGCATATATATGGATAATCTGAAACTCCGCCTAAGCAAAAAAATAATAATAAAATAATAAAAAGTAGTTCTTATCCGTTTCCATTTCCTTGAGTGAGAGCCCACACGTGATTCATGGGACTGACACGTTTCTTATCCTAAATTGTGCTTGCACGAATTTTTGTTTTACGTTTAAGATTTACAGTTGAACCAACCTACCAAACTGTGGATCCTGCACTATAGTCACATAGCCTTTTGGACTGAGGCACTGAGAATCAATACAAACTTCATCCAAACAATAAAATTCAAGTTGGTCCCGTGTCCATTCAATCATGTCTTTTTCCGGTGGCAACACCAAATTGATGGCGCCAACAATTTGCACATACCAGCCACTGTTTCGGGGATAATTTATACGCATTTAATTTATAAATAGATAAAAATAAGTGGTGAATAAATATATGATATATTATATAATGTGTAGCTGAAAATAAAATTCGATCATTTATAAATTTTACAGGATGTAAGCTTTGTTATAACTGTAATATATTATCAAGTTGACTCTTTAATTTGGGATTCGGCTAATAGGATGCGAAAAACAGTTCTTGAATAAATAACTCTTATGTCCCTCCATTGGTTTCAAAAACTGGGTTCTACCGGAATTAGAAATGTAAAACATGGTACAACTGAAAAATATAAGAAATAGAATGTTAGAGACATATTTCATTTTAAGAGGTATAATTTAATGTTTATACTAATAAATTATACAACATCAACTTAACAACTATGGCTCAACTCATTTTTAATCAATTGCTAAATCGAAATTTTGTGCAATATATTGTATTGTATTGACATGTTGCATCAATACTATATAAAACCAAATTCCACGAGGCATTTAGGCGCACTAGGACCAAAATCTCTTTATTAATGATCCGACCTCACCGTCTTAATTGATTTAGCTGACTTTTGATATATTTGATTATTGATCCTTTGATTTTTTTTTAGTCTATCTATAGTCGTGTCAATGAACCGAGCTGGCTCGCTAGTCGAAACTCTAGGCTCAAGCTCAACTTGAGTAAAATGGTCCGAACTTTTTTGCAAGCCCGAGTTTTTGCTCAACCAAGAAATCTAGGTTCGGTTCGAGCTTTCGACTCATGCCTTGTCAAGCCGAGTTGGACAGTCTCGATTTTATTTATTTATTTATGTAAAGGCAACACTCGGCTGACTAAAAAAAAGGCAACAGCACATTGCCTTGAACATTTTTTATAATAGGTCTGTGAGCTTGAGCTGACGAGCTACATGGGTCAGCTCGAGCTCGACCGGGCACCCCCAAATGGGGCTCACCCTGAGCCTCGAGTTTGGTAGAGTCGGGCTTATTGGACAATGGGCAGCCCAAGCCCAATTACCATCCCTATCTACTTATCGATAGCACTTTTATTTAAGCTCTTTATAGTGCATAAAGTTGCGAGTTAAGCTTTATTTGTAGCTCTTGGATTGAGTCAATAAGTCCAACTCAGTATAAGATTTTTCAAATCAACATATTTTTTGCCGCCCCTATCTAAAATATTCTAACTAATGCTAGCCACAAGTCGGTTCGCATCCGGATTATCCAACTTCAACTGAAGAAGAAGAAGCAGAAGCTTCACGAGTTTGATCAAAAGGGGGACAACCTTCTTCAATTTGTTCCATTGTTGACATTTTGTACCAAAATCACTGAATTTGGAAGTTGACAGCAAGTCGACAGAGGCAGTGGAAAACAGCTCATCAGCAAATATCTCACAAGGGCATAACCATAAATGGCCCTTCATTACTTCCAAAAACTACTCTGTACCCATCAAAATGAACAGAACACGGTACATAGTACGCCGAGGTATTAAATGGTAAATAATTATATGAAATGACCTAAAAAACAAGAGAGTAATGTACCGTTTCACAACTGAATAATTATTTCTAATATGTTAGTGGCGTCGAAAATTTAGTCTCGAATAGTGAAAAAAAATTCTTTAATTTTGGGACAATGATTTTTATTCTCGATTACTGTATGTTGCAGATTTTAAACAATTAATCACGTAGATGTTAAAGATGAATACATGTTGAAATTATAT